ACCCTGGGATCATGACCTGAGCTGAAGGCAGTCGCTTAACTGACTGAGCCACTCAGGCGCCCCAATATATATTTTTAAATACATATATATGCATATGTGTTTGGGAGGTGGCATATGGCCCTTATTGAGCTTATCCACCAGAGTGGAAATAATGTCTGTATAAAAACAAATGTTTGTTACTATGACTTCTACATCACAATTAAAATCCAGTCCACTCAATCAAAATCCACTAGTTCAAAATCAATAGCTTCTTTGAAGCCACAGTAGCTCTTAAAAAATGTTAAGACTCAAAAGCAGAAATTTGGTTGGCTGGAAAGCGAATTAAACTTCCCACTTGCTCAAATAGAATTACAGAAGGACAAAATTGTGTTTTTCACAGAGATAAGAGTCCCCTGGACTCACCAACGCTGGACAGCTGTCTCCGAGGGTTTCGTCCTGAGATCGTCAGGAATCCAGGCACCCTTTAGACAGTCATGTGTTGTCCTTTCTCCCCAGTCAGAGATTTGTGGATGTGTGGAGTGACACCACCAGCAGCAATTGTAGCCTTGATGAGAGAGGCTGGTTCTTCCTCTCCACAGAGAGCAGGTTGCTTTACCTTAAGTCTTGGGATGCATTTCCTGCCTGTCAGAGTCCCTCTGCAGTGAGGTACTTACTTTGGGATGGCGCTACACGAATAGCATTCGTGGCTCTTCGTCCTAGATTTCAGGTGTCCGTGAATATGGCCCGCCAGGAAATGCAAGCCGGCTCTCTGCAAGGGGAAACTGCCTTCGTCTTGGCCTTTCTGGAGTTCTTCCCATCCTTACCGCCAGCCACTTTGAATTCAGCTGCAGCTCAAGCAAGCGAGGCAGAGAAAGGCCAGTCAGACAGCTGGAGAGATCCCACCACCTACTCCTTCATCACACCACCATTCAAACTGCTAAAAATAGAGATACAAATATATAGATTAACAAAAGGCTATGACGTGTCATGCTCCTTCAGAAACTACTCTTTTTTTCCTCCTCCTAGTTGGAAGTATTAGAAAAGTACATTCCAGAATATTTATTTAAGGTGCTTCCTGGAACGGTTTCACTTAGTGCGCCCTGAGGGTGAAGCTCAGGGGGACTCCAGAGACTTCTGGGGAGGAGGAGGAGGGGAGCTGGCAGAAGGGTTTGTCTTCCCATGAAGTAGGACTGTGAACAGGGCACGTGCCCCTCCCAAAGCCACTTCTCTGGAGCTTGCTGATTTTGTCTCGCCTCTATTTTTCCTCCCAGGTACTGGCGGAGAACGTTGGGTATGCAGGTCCGCTACGTTTACCACGAAGACTATCAGTTCTGTTATTCCTTCCGGGGCAGGCCTGGGCACAAACCGTCCATCCTCATGCTCCATGGGTTCTCTGCACACAAGGATATGTGGCTCAGCGTGGTCAAGGTGCGGTTCTAGGTTCTTCTCTCTCCACAGGGTGGCACTCAGTAAAGAAAAGGGTGTCCACTTGCCTGTGATGTCATCAGCAATGTTGGAAAGCCAAGGGAACCCAGAACTGTGGTTCAAATCATCTTAAAACTAATTCAGTAGAGGGGCGCCTGGCTGGCTTAGTCGGTAGAGCATGCGACTCTAGATCTCAGGGGTTGTGAGTTCAAGCCCCGTGTTGGGCATGGAACCTATTTTTAAAAAAACCCCACACACAAAAAAACTAATTCAGTATACAGTTAACCCTTGAACAGCATGGGAATTAAGGGAGCCCACCCATGATGCAGTCAAAAACTCACGTATAACTTTTTTGCTCTCCCCAACTTTGACTACGAATAATCTGTTAACTGGAAGGCTTACCAATAACATAAATGGTCAGTTAACACATATTTTGTATGTCATATGTATTATAGATTGTATTCTTAAAATAAGCTAGAGAAAAGAAAATGTTATTAAGAAAATCGTAAGGAAGAGAAAATACATGTATTGCATCGTATCGGAAAAATCCATGTCTCAGTGGACCTGCACGGTTCAAACCCATGTTGTTTGAGAGTCAGCTGTGTTACTCAAATCCTTTTGTCAGACAAAAGTTACTGAGTTCAGTATTATTTGTAAAATCTGCACCTTAGAAATCATTTCACCATATGAATATATGAATATTCACCATATGAATATTCTTAGGGAAGGTTTCTGACACTCAGCTTCCTCTCAGAACTTGTCATGACTGTCAAGATCAGGTTGAACAAAATCATTTATTCTTTTATACTCCAGGTGTCTCCTCTTCTTTCCCCTCAGCCCCCCTTTTGTCTTCTTCTTCTTCTCCCTTCCTCCTTCTACTTCTGTTTTTTTGCTTTTGTTTTTGTTTTTTAATTTTCCTGAGCCATTTAGAGAAACTGTCTTGATCTGACGACAGCTTTCTGAGATAGTTTTCCAAATCACTCACTTTCTGTTCTGGTTTCCTTGGGTGTGGCAACTTGCTCTACTTGGTAAGAGTGACCAGCTGCTACAGGTTGGGCCTGGGAGAGGTCTTGGGAGGGACGTGCTCCAGACTCCCACCTCAAGCAGAACCATACCTGGATGATTCCAAGTAGGATCTACACCAGGGGGAAAGGCTCACACATCCTATAGTCACTTCTGTTCTCATTCCCAAATTCCACTATAAGGACAGTCATCCTCATGCCTTAACGAACCTCTCACTTCCTGACCCACCTCAGATATTTTTGGTATAACTGGTATTTTGTATATTGATAACTGATGTTTCTCAGCTTCTGGTTAAAAGTGGCACAAATATAAATGGAAGGTGTTTTTGGATAATAATCACCCCAGGAATTAGACCTTAATGCAAAAAAAAAAATGGGGGGGTGGGTTGAAACCAGAATCAGAGTGATCAGACATGGTTCTGAGCTTTGCTCCTGTTGGCTCTGGAGCCGCCCAGGGTTCTGGGAGAACAGAGTCTTCTTTCCTAGCTCCAAGTCTCCCCAAGTCAGTGGCTGCGTGACTGGAGTAAGTGTGGAGGGGGTGAAAGGAAAGGAGATAGTACCTACCAACTGGTATCGAGAAAGAGCGAGATTCAGGCCTGCTACCCTAACCTTTGTTCCCCTCTTCCCCCCCCTTTCCACACATCTCCTGAGTCCCCTCCCATCTCTGTATTGGTCTTTGAGGGTCTCTGCTCCCTAGGAGGCTACTAGCAGTGCTTACTCACATGAGATATAACTAGGATAAGACACTGGGTGGCCCAGGCCCAGACATCCTCAGGGATGGCTGTCCAGGTCACTTGGTAAGTGGGGGTGACCTCCCTAGAAGAGTGGGCAGACATGTCCTGCACACCACATCCTGACTCTCTGCACCTGTGTGTCCCTAGTTCCTTCCAAAGAACCTGCACTTGGTCTGCGTGGACATGCCAGGGCATGAGGGCACCACCCGATCCTCCCTGGATGATCTGTCCATAGATGGGCAAGTAAAGAGGATACACCAGGTAAGCAGGAGGCTCCGCCAAAAATTGCTCAGACTGTGTGTTACCCACCTTGCGTGCCCACGTCTGGAGAGCACGAAAGAGAGTTCCATGCTGACTTGTAACCAGTATCCAGTGCATTCTGTCTGCAAATATTTGCAAACAAAAATGGCATCCCAGTGGTATCATTGGTCAGCTGTGGAGGATCAGGACCTATTGCAGACGGTTCTCCTTTAAGCCTACTTTATTTAGTTATTTCTCAAGAAATATGATACATTTTTTTTAGCTCTTTAAAAAAGGAGTTTAGAATTCTCAAGACCATTTCCCTAGAGTCTATTTTTTTGCTTACCACCTACATGACACAACATAATGATGGCCCCTCTGCCTAGTTGTGCAGGATGGGGAGGGTGCTCTTTGCATTTTGTTCTTTCTTAGCATCTAGCTTCAGCCTCTCTCTGGCAGGGCTTTCAAGGTCATGGGGCTCATGAATCACTTCAGAATTTAGTAATCTCTAAGTTACAAACTGACATTATGAATTTTCCCCAGATGAGGTTGTTTATTTAATGTCTGTACCCAGCCTAACCCTTACCTTTAAAGTGTGTGTTCTGATGAGGTCAGGAACCTTGTCTTTTGGGGTCCTTGCTGTATCCTCAGGAGCTGACCATAGTTCCTTGTACATAATCGATATCCTATAAATATTTTTTTTAGATGGGTGGATGGTTGGTGGAATGGTTGGATGAACGGTTAGATGGTTGAATAGACAGGTGAATCATTATATGAAATGAATGGATGGATGGGAAGGGCTTTAAATGTAGGGTAAGAGTCTGCAAGCCATCGTTGGCTTTCTGTCAGCGAGGTTTTCTTGGAATATAACCATGTTCGTTCATTTACATGTTAGCTCTGGCCACTTTTGTGCTACAACAGCAGCAGAGAACATACGACCCACAAAGCAAGAAATATATTTCTCTTGGGACCTTCGTAAAAAAAAAAAGTTTGCTGGCTCATGAGTTAGGGGAATCCTTGTTGGTTTTATACTTAAAAATGACCCTTCAATCACCTTGCCAGGTAAAGAGGATTATATGCCACAGGGTTTGTCTGGATAATGGATCCAGTAGATGTCAGAGGTTTTCTGCTATGTAATCAGTCTTGTTATTGTCTACAGCTATATAACCAAACCTCCTTCTCATTTCCCTCCCTAGTTTGTAGAATGCCTCAAGCTGAACAAAAAACCCTTCCACCTCATAGGCACCTCCATGGGTGGCCACGTGGCTGGGGTATATGCTGCTTACTACCCATCAGATATCTGCAGTCTTAGTCTCGTGTGCCCTGCTGGTAAGTTACGAGGCTAAAATAAGTCCTGTGCGTGACTTGAGCAAATGGCAGGGTCTGTGCTGTCTTGTAGAATCTTTTTTTCAATATCTACTTTAGAGATATATAATGCTTCAGTGATAACTAACCAACAATAATTGTATAACCGTAATCATAACCATACTAACTTTGAAAATCTAGAGCCAGCCTTGTTCCACAAAGGATCCAAGGTGGTTAATTTAAGTGTGTCCTAGTACGTTGCAGCATATAAATACTTCGAAATGTAATGATAATATTAACAGCCAACTTTTTTTTTAAGATTTTATTTATTTATTTGAGAGAGAGAGTGAGCAGGGGGAGGAGCCTAGGGGGAGGAGCCTAGGGAGAGGGACATGCAAACTCCCGCGATCAGCACGGAGCCCAGTGCAGGGTCCAGTCCCATGACTCTGACGTCATGACCCGTGCTGAAACCTAGTCAGATGCTCAACTGACTAAGCCACCCAGGCGCCCCTAACATCTAACATTTATTGAGCTCTTACGAGCTAAGGTCTTTATATGGATTTAATTCTTGCCATATCCTTCTAAGGTGAACGTACTCTCTCCTTTTTTGCTGAAAACTCAGAAATCTTGATACATGACAAGATCTTTTTTTTAAAAAATCAACAAACTTTAGTTTCTGTGTTTTTATGTGTATACATGTCAACTTGAACTGTAATATGTCCCCAGAAATGACAATTTGAAGTCGGATTTTTTTTTAAGGATTTTATTGGGGAAAAAAAGATTTTATTTTTTTAAGTAATTTCTACATCCAATGTGGGGCTCAAACTTAACCCCAAGATCAAGAGTCACATATTCACTGACTGAGCCAGCCAGGCGCCCCTGAAGTTGGATTTTTAGAATTCATTTTCTTCTATAAGTCTTCAAATTAGGATTTATAATGTGTTAGTGAGAAAATCTTAATTTTTTTTTTCCTTCTCCTGCTCCCTCTCTCTCATACTTTATTAGATTATGATTTACACATAGTAAATTGCCCAAATTTTAAGTGTACATCTCAATGACTTTTTACATGGGTAATTACTATCCAGATCAAGATAGTACAGCCATTTTATAGGTGGGAACATTGAGGCACGAAAAAATTACGTTACTGCTGGAGCTACAATAGGAAGGGATCCTAGGTTGTCTGACCCTAGAACCCAAACTGTGGCTTTTTTGGAAATCCTTTGATGTCCACTACCTCTTATATGTCACTCTTACCCACTACCTCCTTTATCTGCTAGAACCTGCCGTGAGTCAAACCTTCTACTGAAACATAACTAAACTGACCTTTTAAAATCTTTTAGTCACAAAATCGCTTTCAGGTCTGTTAAGGACATTGAAATTGAAACTCCCAAAGGGTTTTCTTTTCTCCTTTGTCCAAGCACTATGTCTGAATTCATTTGGTCTTTTGGTAATAAAGTTTGGGAATCGGAGAAACAGCTCCTATGGAAATTATCAGATTTGTAATCGTTTATGGAAGGTCAAATCTAACTGGCTTTTTTGAATGTATGTTCATTTGCTCAGAGAAGAGTTTCACACCTAAGTTTCAATTGGGAATTTAAAATTAAGATTATTTGCGGGCAACTGGGTGGCTCAGTCAGTTAAGCATCCGCCTCTTTATTTCGGCTCGGGTCATGATCTCAGGGTCTCGAGATCGAGCCCCGCGGCTGGCTCTGCACTGAGTGTGGAGCTTGCTTATGATTCTCTCTCTCCCTCTCCCCTTGCCCCTCCTCCCCACTCATGCTCTTAACTGATTGATTGAGTGATTAAAAATAAATAAAATTAAAATTATTTGTGTGTGGAAATGAAAAGATAAGCTTTTTTACTTTGGAATAATTTTAAATTTACAGAAATGTTGCAGAGATAGTACAGACAGTCCCATATAACCCTTCACCCAGCTTCTCCCATTGTTAGTGGCTCACCTTATCACAGTAAATTTGTCACAGCTAAGAAACCAACACTGGTAACAGCACTATTAACTGAACTCTGGGATGAATTTGGATTTCATTCGTTTTTCCGCTAATGTCCTTTTTCTGTTCCAGGATCCAATCCAGGATACCACATGACATTTAGTCTAGGATTATTTTTATGTATTTATTTATTTTTAAAGATTTCATTTATTTGACAGAGAGAGACACAGCGAGAGAGGGAACACGAGCAGGGGGAGTGGGAGAGGGAGAGGCAATCTTCCCGCCGAGCATGGAGCCCGACTCGGGGCTCGATCCCAGGACCCTGGGATCATGACCTGAGCCGAAGGCAGATGCTTAACGACTGAGCCACCCAGGCTCCCCAATCTAGGATTATTTTTAAAGTAAAAGGAAATAGATCGTGTAACCTGCCCCATGACATCACAGAAGCCACACGATGCTTGCGCTAGCTTTAAAGGAACTGCTGAATATAGGAAATTTATAAAATGTGGATTTCTGCAGCGCAGTATCGATGTCACTGCCTTTCTTTGTGAAATGTAGCTCGTCAGCTAAGTTAAACACCTAGACCTTCGCTCCGTGTTGGAAGTGAAAATTACTTCTGCCCTCCCGTGCACATCAGCTCATGTGAATGAATTCTCTCATGTCTTGCTCCAGGGAGATAGGAAATGATGGTCAATCTCAAAGGCGTCTGGTCTCAGTGAGCACCTAATGCTCTCCTGGAGGAAGAGGGGCTGTGTGGAGGGCAGCTACTCTCTCTCTCCCTGTGGTTATGTATTGACCCCAAAAAAGAGACTACTAAGTGGCTCCAGGCCAAGGGAAGGAGGCGTCAGTCACTCCAGTCCTGTGTTCTCTTCCCATCATGTATTTTGTCAGCTCTCCTCTCAATGATAACGGATGTGAAGGGGCTCAGGCAAGTTGTCTTCTAGACTGATGCTTCTTAAACTCTTTCATACACATGCCTCCCTGGCAGCTTGTTCGAGTGCAGATTCAGAGTCAAGAGACTTAGGAGAGGGACCGAGATTCTGCATTTCCTATGGGCTTCCAATGCTGCTGGTCCATGGACCACAGTTTGAGTAACCAGTCCCCAAACCATCCTGAAGGAGTCTTTTTCTATGTTTCTCAGAGTGGGGTTTTGACTGAGCCAGGATGGTAGTACCAATGAAAAAGAAATCTGGTGAAAAACACCTGAAATATATTAGCCTCTGGGCTGATATTGGAAGTTTCCTATATAAAATGAGAGTTGGTAAGAAGGTAGGTACGTTGCCAAGCTGTTCTGGTTTGAATCCCGCAGGCTTGCAGTACTCAACTGATAATCAATTTGTACAGCGGCTCAAAGAACTGCAGAACTCGGCCGCCGTGGAGAAGATCCCCTTGATCCCATCCACCCCAGAGGAGATGAGTGAAATGCTCCAGCTCTGCTCCTATGTCCGCTTCAAGGTGCCCCAGCAGGTACCGTGCTCTCAGCAGCAATATGCCTGCCCCCTGCCAGAGGTTCAGCCAGCCTCCTCACGCACCCCTTCCCTCTTGTGCTCCTCTATGTAGTCATTCGACGGCTGTCTGTCCTGGGCCTGTGACGGGTCAGGCATGGTGTTTAGACACAGTTGTGAGGAAAGAAGACAGAGAGGGTACCTGGGCAGACACAGGCCAGTGCGGGAGGCAGACAGTTCACAAGTAAATACGTACGCATGGTGATAAGTCCTATGGCGGAAATGAAGATGGTATAGTGATTGAAAGCAGGGAGTCGGGGGAGTCTTTGATAAGCCTCTCTGAGGAAATAATGTGGGCAGAGGTGGGGGAAACATAGATAAGTTCAAGACACTGGAAGGAGGCTGGGGGGCCTGGCATCTATGTAGAGGGAGAGCGGGGGAGGGAGGCAAGGGCTGCAGCAGAGACTTGCTTCTTTTCTTTTCTCTTCTTTCTTTCTTTCTTCCTTTCTTTCCTTCTTTCTTTCTTCTTTCTTCCTTTTTTTCCTTCTTTCTTCCTTCCTTCCTTCCTCTCTTTCTTTCTTTCTTTTTTTTTAAATTTCAGGACTGCTTTACACACTTAAAAATTGCTAAGAACCCTAAAGAGCTTTTGTTTGTGGAGGTTCTGACTACTGATATTTACCATATTAGAAAGTAAAACTCAAAGGTAAAACACAAGAACATACAGGCGCTCATTCCATTAGCTGTCAGCATGATGACGCTGCCCCTCCACAAGCAGGCTCTGAGACGCACAGTGCTTCTGAGAGCATGGACGTGAAGCAGGCAAGTAACATTTAGCCGTTATGGGGGAGATCGTTTGACCTCACGAGTTCCCAGGAGCCACTTGGAGAACCACTAGGCTAGATCACGTAGGACCCTACAGGTTATGGGAAGGAGCCTGCAGTTCCCCTAAGAGGACTGTGGGGGGCACAAACAGAAGCAGAGAACCAGGGGCGGGCTCCTGTGGCCTGGCAATGACAGTGGTGTAGACGAGGACAGTGGCCGTGGAGACTAGAGACTCGAGCTGCTTTGGGGGGAAGGATGGGCAGGACTTACTGGCAAATTGGCAGTGGAGGATGAGGGACAGTGAGGACTCACAGGGGGCTTCTGGTACTTCAGTTGGACAAAGGCGGCAGTTTCTGAGTGAGGGAAGGAGAGCGGGAGAAGAGGTCTTGGAAACAAGCGAAGGGCTCCATTTCGGACGTGTTCAGGTTGTCTCTGAGGCCTCCAGATGCAGCTGCCGAGCAGCCGGTTGCATATGCAGGCGGAGCTGAGGGACGTCTGGCCCGGAGCTGTCCAGTTAGAGCCGTCCACCGGGATGATGTTACCGGTCACGGTCTGAATGGGAGGCACTGTGGAAGCCAAGAGACGAGAACGCATGGCTAAGCCTCATAACTGCAACTAATCTCTTTCTAGTGTAGGAACTGGACCCTGCCTCGCAGTGGGGTGGGTCCTCCCACAAGTTGAGGGAATGGGCTGTATTCAGAAGGTGTGAACATGACTCAGTTAAGGGGTATAGAAGCACCCAGAATCCGATTCTGTGGTACATTCTATCCCTGAAATCCTCTTTTTAGTTGTGAGGTTGCACTGATCCCCTCCCAGCCATGCTCTCTACCCAGAAGAGAGTGGCCAAACAGTGCTTTAGGAAATTCCATGCTTTGAGTTGTCAGGGATATGAAAACACAGGGAGAGAGTAAGTGGCAGCTCTAGAAGTCTTCCCTCCTAGGAGACAAGGAGCACCCGAGCACTCTGTGTCATGTTATGTTTGTCTGTTAACTTGTCTGTGTCTTCCACTCTAACCTCAGTAAGATCAAGGATTTTGTCTTAACTGGCAGCCTTTATTAACACAGTGCTTGCGTGAAGTAGGTCCTCGGTATAGATTGGGTGGGTCAGAGGGAGGGAGGATAATGCAGGGATGGAGAATGGATGTGTGAGTAGGTGCAGAGTAGATGGGCACATGAATTGTTGCATGTGCATGAGTAGGTGATTTAGGGATGCAGGAGAGATGAATGGCTGAGTACTTGGTTGGATGAGGAGGCCTGGAGAATGCCGGGATGGAAGGTGGATGGATTGGTGGATGCAGGGTAGAGGGATACATCAGTAGACATGCATGTATGATTCAGAGATGTAGTGTGGGGGGATGGATGGGTGGATGGATGTCTGCATGAAGCAGGGATGGAGGATGGATGGATGGATAGGTAGGTGCAGGGTAGGTGGATGCACAGATATATGCACACATGAGTCAGATGCAAGCAAGATGGGTGGCTGGGTGGGTAGAGCAGAGGTAGAGGATGCAAGATGGATAGATGTGCGGGTGCAAGATCATAGTAGAGCAAACAAAATGGCTGATGCCGAGTGCAGTGTGTTGGACAACTTGCCATTGGTGTCTAGGCTTTCACTTCCAGAATGGTCAGATTCTAGTCATGCTCCAGAGGGTTGGTTCAGAGCAGTTCTGGCTGCATTTTCCCCCTTCAGTCAGTGCACAGGACTCCTCAGAGTGCATCTGAGGGGCTCAAACCATTCCCAGGTAGATGAGAGGAGTGCTGGTGCTAATGTGAATGCTGTACCCTACTTCAGGGATCCTGCAGCAGGAGGAAGAGGAGGGCTGTGTTCCTTCTTCCCACAGCCAGCCTCTGGGGTCAGGATCCCAGGTCCAGGAGATCTGGCGTGCCCACATTGACTGCAGCCTTCACCAGCCCTCCACGAAGAAAGCAAGGATAACACTGAATAATAAACAAAGGACTATGGAACCGATCCCAGAATTTTTTAAATGGTTTATCTCTTTATTGTTCAAGAGGCCCATCATCCCCAATAGTTTGATTTTTTTTTTTTTAATAGACCTTATTCTGCATTTGGGTATTACTAAACAATTCCTTGATATTATTTCCAGCCTTGATTGTATTTTAGGCTAAGCAGAGAATATCTCAAGATAAAGTGGCTGTGAGCCCATGTCAGGTGTTTTTACATGCTTTGGCTTCCCAGCATTACCCGGGTTCCTTCCTAATTACAAAGGAAAAAGCGTCAGATGACCCTAACTCCCAATTACAATGCATACTCCGTGGTGGGAATTTAGAGCCCTGGGCCCTAAAACCTTGACACTGCCATACATTGCCAGACTTTATTTCCTTCGCTGTCCCGGAGCCACGGGGGGCCTGAGGAAACAACCCGTCTCTTGCCTTCTAACCGTGGCTCACTTCTCTGTAGATCCTGCAAGGCCTTGTTGACGTCCGTATTCCTCATAACAACTTCTACAGAAAGCGTAAGTAGCCGTGGTTAAGCTTTGTGCTTGTGACGAGTGAAGCTGTATGGGTGGTTGGCTTTTGTATTTGACATTTCCAAGATTTTGATCATTTTCTGGGGCCCCTAAGGACGAAGTGGCAGCCCTGAGTCCATGACCGTCCCTGAACTGTGTAGAGTTCTGGTGCCCACAGGCACAGCCCGGCACGCACTCACTTTGTTTTCCTTTTCTGAAAAGTGTTTTTGGAAATCGTCAGTGAGAAGTCAAGATACTCCCTCCATCAGAACATGGACAAGATCAAGGTCCCAACGCAGATCATTTGGGGGAAACAAGACCAGGTATGTAGCGCGTCCCTGGGGCCCCTTTGCCAGTTACACTGGCCTCTGAGGAAAAGCAAGAGGTCATTTATCGAGTGAGCCTCACTGGCTGGTTTCTGATACCAGGACGAGATAGAGCACACCTGGGTCAGGTGCTGATATTTATGGGGGGGCATTGTTCTCTTGAGTTGAGAGCAAAGATGTTGATCTTTTAAAATGAAAGGAAATCAGGGCGCCTGGGTGGTTCAGTCGGTTAAGCGTCTGCCTTTGGCTCAGGTCATGATCCAGGGGTCCTGGGATCCAGCCCCACATCAGGCTCCCTGCTCAGTGGGGAGCCTGCTTCTCCCTCTGCCTCTCCCCCTCATGCTTGCTCTCTCTTTCTCTCTCAAATAAATAACTAAAAATCTTAAGGGCGCCTGGGTGCCTCAGTCAGTTGAGCATCTACCCTCAGCTCACATCATGATCCTGGAGTCCCAGCATGGAGTCCGCATTGGGCTCCCCGCCCAGCGGAGAGTCTCCTTCTCCCTCTGACCCTTCCCACTCTCATGCTCTCTCTCTCTCTGTCTCCCTCAAATAAATAAATAAAATCTTTAAAAAAAAAAGTTTTAAAAATCTTTAAAAAATGAAATAAATAAAATGAAAGGCAATCTTAAATCATTTTTACAAATTACTTTTATCAAAGCCATGTAGTCTCATAGTACAAAAAACTTTAAAGAGGGGCGCCTGGCTGGCTCAGTCGTTAAACGTCTACCTTCAGCTCAGGTCATGATCCCGGGGTCCTGGGATCCAGCCCCATGTCGGGCTCCCTGCTCAGTAGGGAGTCTGCTTCTCCCTCTCCGTCAGCCCCTCCCCCTGCTCATGCTCGCTTTCTCTGTCTCTCTCCGGGTCTCAAATAAATAACAAAATCGTAAAAAAAAAACTTTAAAGAGTACAAAAAGGGTTGTAACGAAAATTTGATCTATTTTCCATCCCAGGGTAGCTCTCACTGTCTTGCGTACGTTTCTTCCGTTTCCTAAGGCAGGGATTGACATGTTTTCTGTGAAGGGCCAGATAGCAAATATTTCCGACTCTGTGGGTCGTATACTTCTGTCGCAACTCCCGAGCTCTGCTGTTGTGCAGAGTAGCTACAGACAGTATGCAGAAAGTGACGTGGCAGAGTGCCAGTGAACCTCTGTTCCCACAGACAGGCAGTTGGCCACTGCCTGCCTACTGCCGTTCTGAGCATACGCGTATCTGCAGAGGTAGTCACATCTGTAAGTTTTTCAAACGTGTGTAACGACACTGTTCCCAGTACTTCATATATGTAGGGATGTCTGTATCTTGGAAATCATTTCATACCAGCCCATGTAGATTTACTCAGTCTATTTTTTATATATGTTTTTTTAATTTTACTGACTTTTATTAATACGTTTGGGTAAGCTTTTGTAGTCATACACAAAAATGACATGACCAGTGGTTAAATCCTGCTTTTTTAAAAGATTTAAAAAATTTTTTTTCTTTTTTTTTTTTTTAATTAGAGAGAGAGGAGGGGCAGAGGGAGAGGGAGAGAGAGAGAGAATCTTAAGCAGGCTTCACACCCAGCAACAGCCTGATGCGGGGCTCGATCTCACGACCCTGAGATCATGACGTGAGCCGAAATCAAGAGTCAGACGCTAAACTGACTGAGCCACCCAGGTGCCACAGGATTTTTTTAAATTTTAATTCCAGTAAGTTAACATACAGTGTTATATGAGTTTCAGGTGAACAATACAGTGATTCAACACTTCCATACATCACCCGGTGCTCATCAGGACAAGTGCCCTCCTTCATCCCCATCACCTATTTCACCCATCCCCCCCTTCCCTCTGGTAACCATCAGTTTGTTCTCTATAGTTTAGGGTCTGGTTTTTTTGGCTTGTCTTTTTTCCTTTGTTCATTTGTTTTGTTTCTTAAATTCCACATGAGTGAAATCATACGGTGTTTGTCTTTTTCCGACTGACTTATTTCACTTAGCGTGATACTCTCTAGCTCCATCCACGTCATTGCCAGTGGCAAGATTTCATTCTTCTTAATGGCTGAGTAATATTGTATATATCTGCCACATCTTCTTTATCCATTTATCAGTCAATGGACACTTGGCCTGTTTCCATAATTTGACTATTGTAGATAATGCTGCTATAAACATATGGGTGCATGTATCCCTTGGAATTAGTATTTTTGTATTCTTTGGGTAAACATCCAGTAGTGCCATTACTAGATCGCAGTGTAGTTGTATTTTTAACTGCTTGAGGAACCTCCAAACTGTTTTCCACAGTGGTTGTACCAGTTTGAATTCCCACCCACAGTGTAAGAGTGTTCCCCTTTCTCCACATCCTCACCAACACTTGTCATTCCTTGTGTTTTTTATTTTAGTCATTCTGACAGGTGTGAGGTGATATCTCATTGTGGTTTTGATTTGCATTTCCCTGATGATAAGTGATGTTGAGCATCTTTTCATGTGTCTGTTGGCCATTGTATGTCTTCTTTGGAGAATGTCTGTTCATGTCTTCTGCCCATTTTTTAATTGGATTTTTTTTTTTGAGCAGGCTCCATGCCCATTGTGGAGCCCAGTGCAGGCCTCGAACTCACAACCCTGAGATCAAGACGTGAGCTGAGCTAAGAGTCTGACATTTAACCAACTGAGCCAATCAGGGGCCCCAGTTTTGGATGTTGACTTGCATCAGTTCTTTATATATTTTGGATACCAACCCTTTATCAAATATGTCATTTGCACATATCTTTTCCCATTCTTAATATTTTATTTTGAAATAATTTCAAACCTATAGAAAAATAATGAGTACAGGGCGCCTGGGTGGCTCAGTTGGTTAAGCGACTGCCTTCGGCTCAGGTCATGATCCTGGAGTCCCTGGATCGAGTCCCACATCGGGCTCCCTGCTCGGCGGGGAGTCTGCTTCTCCCTCTGACGCTCCCCCCCTCATGCTCTCTCTCTCTCATTCTCTCTCTCAAATAAATAAATAAAATCTTTAAAAAAAAGAAAAATAATGAGTACAGAATACTCTTATATACACTTTCCCTAACTCCATTCATTTTAACTGCCTTATTGAGGTATCATCTACCTACCATCAAATTCACCTACTTGGGTGCCCCATCACAACCCAGTTGTAGAACATTTCTGTCACTCCCCAAAGTTCCCTCCCGCCCATTTGCAGTTAGTCCCAGCCCCACACAACCACAGATCTGTTTTCTATTTCTACAGTTTTACCTTTTCCTGAATTTTCACATAAACGGTATCATATAATAGGTAGTCTTTGGTATCTGGCTCTCTTCGCTCATGCATAATGTTCTTGAGGTTCCTTCATTTCAGTGCTTTGTTCCTTTTATAGCTGAGTGTCATTCCATGGTATACATGTACCATGTTTTATTTACTACCAATTTTTTAACATTTGTTGCATTGGCTTTTTTTTTTTTTTTTTTAAGATTTTCTTTTATTTGACAGAGAGAGCGAGAGCACAAGCAGGGAGAACAGTAGAGGGAGAGGGAGAAAGAGGCTCCCCGCCAAGCAGGGAGCCCGATGCGGGGCTCGATCCCAGGACCTTGGGATCATGACCTGAGCCGAAGGCAGATGCTTAACCATCTGAGCCACCCAGGCGCCCCGCTGCATTGGCTTTTTTAAACATTCTCATCTATCTATTTTCTGACCATTGAAGTAGGTTGCTTACATTATGCCCTTTTACCCCCAATACTTCAGGGTATATTTACTGAGAGCAAGAATATTCTCTCACTTAACCACAGCGCGTGGTCATATTCAGGAAGTTTAACGCTGGTGCAATGTTTTTGTCTAATCTGACGCCCATATTCCAAATTCATGGGCGGGGGACCTGGGTGGCTCAGTCGGTTGAGCGTCTGACTCTTGATCTCAGCGCAGGTCTTAACCTCAAGGCTGTGAGTTTAAACCCCACGTTGGACTCCACACTGGGCATGGAGACTACTTTAAAAAAATAAAATAAAATAAAATTCATCGGTTATTTCAGTAAGGAGCTACATAGAATGTTCCTGCCTCCCTGAACATGTCACGGCCCTGTAGTCTCCTTTACTGTGGACTGAGACCCCAGTCTGCTTTGTCATTCATGATGTTGAGATATTTGAAGAGTACAGCTCAGTCATTTTATGAAATGTTGCTAATTTGACTTTGTCTGCTGTTTCCTCATGATTAAACTCAGATTATAGACCACCGCCAGAATAGCTCATAAGTGATAAGGTAGCCCATCCTGGGACACACAGTGTCCTTCTGCCCTTCCCTGGTGAGGTTCGTGTTGATTGCCTGGTCAGGGCGTTGTCTCACTCTTCCTTGTAGAGGTATTATGTCCCTTGGTGACTGATAAGCAGTCTGTGGGAGACACTTTGAAATATCCTGCTCCTTACCAAACATTCCCCCCTAGACTGACCATCTGTGAATGATTCTTGCCCCAAAGTTTACATTCTCCTCTCTAACAGCCGCGTAGTAGTCCATTACGTGGCTCTGCCACAGTGTATTTCATTAGCATCCTACTGATGGTCATTTAGGTCATTTCCAGTTTTTTGCCGTTAAACAATACCTCAGTGAACACCAGCATAGACGTGTGTTTGGGGAGTGTGAGAGCATTCCTGAAAAGTAAATTCTCCATTGTGGACTCACTGGGTCAAAGAGCAGGTGCATTTTAAAACTGTAATAGGTTTTGGGGGCACCTGGCTGGCTCATTCGGTAGAGCATGCAACTCTTGATCTCGGGGTCATGAGTTGAAGCCCCATGTTGGGTATAGAGCTCACTTAGAAAAAAAAATTTTTTAAATAATAAAATTTTAATAGGTTTGATTAGGTGGCTCTGTATTAGTTTGCTGAGGCGGTCATAGCAAAGTACCACAAACTGGGTGGCCTACACAACAGAAATTGATCATCTTAAAGTTCTCTAGGTTAGAAGTCCAAGATCGAGTTGTCCACAATTTAGTTCCTCCTGGGGGCTGTCGGAGAATCTGTACCATGCCTCTTCCCCAGCTTCTGGCGGTTTACTGACAATCTGTGTTCCTTGGCTAATAGATGTGTCATGCTGCCATCTGCCTTCATCCGCACACAGCGTTCTCCCTGTACCTGTGTGTCTCCGTGTTTAAATTTTTTTTTCTGTGTTTAAATTTTTGTAAGGGTGGCAGTCATATTGGGTGAGGGGCCCACCCTGCACCAGTATGACCTCATCTTAACTAATTACATTTGCAGCTACCCTATTTCCAAATAAAGTCACCTTTTAAGGTATTGGAGGTTAGAGCTTCAAACTACGAATTTTAGAGAGGGGACACAGCAGTAACAGACCCTCCAAAGAGAGACTGATTTATACCCCAGAAGCTCCTTTCTTGCCTGCAGTTGTTCTTTAGAAGTCATATCTTACTCTCAAAGTTCTTCTTCTTCTTCTTTTTTTTAAAAGATGTTATTTATTTGAGAGAGAGAGGGAGAGTACAGAGGGAGAGGGAGAGGGAGAAGCAGACTCCCTGCTAAGCAGGGAGCCCAACATGGGACTCGATCCCAAGACCCTGGGATCATGACCTGAGCCGAAGGCGCCCCAAAGTTCTTCTGAAGTTTAAAGCAAGAAGAGGGGCTCCTGGGTGGCTCAGTCGTTAGGCGTCTGCCTTCGGCTCAGGTCCTGATCCCTGGGTCCTGAGATCGAGTCCCGTATTGGGCTCCTTGCTCAGCGGGGAGCCTGCTTCTGCCTCTCCCTCTGCCTCCTCCCCCCTGCTCATGCTCTCTGTCTCTCGCTCTCTCAAATAAATAAATAAAATAAAATAAAAAAGCAAGAAGAGGCAATGAGAAATGGAGTCTTTATAAGGCCCAGGATGACCCGTGGGGAGAAGCAGGCAGGACTGTGCCCCAGTGCACGTGGGGGTGCTGATGATCGCGTCAGTGTACAGCTCTCCCAAACCGGCAGGTACAGCTGAGGATACAGAGTGCAGGGATGTGGGCATGGAGAGGAGGGAGGGCTCTTTGCTCCCCTCTGCAGCAGCCAAGGGACTAGAAGGAGCTTTGTGTGCATCTGAGTGGGGAAGCGGACACGGAGTAGGCCAGCAGGGGGTTATTTGATCAGAAATCAAGTTAGAACAATGAAGGCCTTTCTCTAGTCTAAAAATCCCAAAGGTGATTTGGGGCTCTCAGGGACCAGCAAGGAGAGGCAAGGACCCATCGCCCTGCCCTGCAGAGACAGTGCAGAAGCAAGATCTCTGGGCTCGGACTCTGAAAGTCTGGGTTCCAGCCCTGCCTTTGCCCTACATGAGGCCATGACTCTGAGCAAACCACTCAGCTGCTCCCAATCCTGGGTTTCTCTTCTCCTACTGGGGTGATGTGAGGTTCAAGTGAAGTAACACACATGAGGGTGATCTTTCTCCAGTGACAAGAAAATAAGTTACTTATTAATCACATCCTTTGCCTCTGAGAGTTGGCCTCTGCCTATGATCCAGAATTTTTCCAGGGCTCTGAGGTCCATTTTGTTCTGAAAAAAGAGCCTAACATTCCATGGGCCTACTATAAATATGATCAGATATTCTCTGTGTTCTATGGACCATCCCCAGTGCAGAATCCAAATAGCAAAGGCTTTGGGGGCCCTTTATTTTATGGCCTTTTGCTTCCCAAGCATCTGGCTCTTTTTCTGCTCTGTTGTCAGCATTTAGGATCACCAACCCCGTGCCTTCCAGGCTGAATTCAGCCTCCCTCTTCTTTGGACCCCTGTAGGTCAGCCGCCATGCTGTACAACTGCAGGATAGCTGTGCCCATTGTTGTCTACATGAATCATGCCCGCTGGATTTGGGCAGTATGCAGCCTGCACAACTGAACCTGGCAGCCCTTCCTTAGATTTCTGCACATCAGTTCAAGTATTTCCCCTCTGTGTTTAGTCCACCAGAATGGGAGGGCCTTGTGCAGATATACAAGGTCCCTTCATCCTGCCCCCACAGTGCCTAGGATGCAGGAGACCCAGAGTATGAGTGAGTGAGCAAGCAAGCAAGAAAGTAAATACACTAGCAAAGGGACAAACCAACTTATGGCCTATACATTTAAGTCAGCTAACAGATTTATACTGAGCACCTGGTATGTGCCTGACACCGTGTTAGGCCCTGAGGATACAGAAGGCACCGAGACAGACGGGATTCCTGAGCTCCAGCAACTTCTAGTTTATCTGCCATTATAACGCCTGGCGGAGCCCAAACTAGTGTGAGGTCGATCATGTGAGTGCAGGGTTGGATCCTGTCTTTATAATTTTTATATTTTGTTCATGGTGGATCTTTTTGCATTAATGTCTATTTTTTTAAATACTGCATTAAAATCTTCATCTTAATTCGTGAGTTTTTTGGAGGCTGCTTAAGTTTTGTGCCCAAGGCAGGTGCCTCACTTCCGTCACCCTAGTCTTGGCCCTGGCCCGAAATGAGATGGAGGAGAATCGTTTGACCATCTACATGAATGTCTTGCCCAAGAAATAGCTGATGTGGTTCCCATAGACGTGCATACCTCATGAGGGTCCATTTGGCTATTTCCCATACGTCTGAGTGACCGTGGGGAATGCTGGATTTGACCAGTGTAACAGTGTCAAAGCTAGAGGCTCATGTGGGTATTCTTGAGCTATGGGTTCTGACCTCTCTGCAGGATAGACATTCAGTGTTTGTGCTGTGACCCGCTGACTCCACCTGCATTTCCTCTGGGGATTTTTCTACAGAAGCTGGGCTTTATTTCTGCCCACTTGCCGCAGCAGCCTTCCCTGTGAGTGTGGGGCAGGCAGAGGTGTCTGATTCCTTCACGGGGTGCCCCTCTCACCAAGCTCCCCATTAACTGCTCCTATTTGTGGCCCCGGGAGGTGCTTTGCTATGCTCCACGCTCCATGTCTTGGCTGAGGCGTGCTGCCCCCGACCCCCAACTTCCCAGGTGGAAAATCTTGGTTTTAATGGTCCGGGTTGACCAGAATGGAGCTCAAACACAGACAGCACGTGAGTTTGTTGGGGGTCTTGCTTTTGCATTGAGGATGAGGGGAAGGGTCCTCTTGTGCGGAATGAGTTGAAGGGGAAAGCGATGACAAACGGGGAACGGATGCAGATCTGATGCTATAGGACGGTGTTGGGGAGAAAATCTTGGATGGGTGTAAATAAGCAAGGTAACCCAGGTGACAGTGAGATTGAGTGCATTGTTAGGAAAGGGTCAGCCCTCGAGAGCGGTGCCTTTCTTATCGAAAGAGCATTCCCCATTATTCACAAACTCCAGGGCCCGTGGTCACACAGCTCTGGGGACCCCCAGAAGACCCTCAAAGAGACACTCCCACCTCTCCCAGCTTGGGATAATTAGCCTTCACCTCCTGTGTCTTCCCTGTGTGCCCTTCCTAGAGCTGGCCTTCTCTAGTCCAGCCTGATCGTGTCCGTCCCTAACACAGCCCCACGGCTCCCCACTGCCCTCAGATGGAGGCCTGACCCCCCATCTCTCCACCACGCCGTCCTTGCTCCCCGCGTACTGTCTAGTGTCAAGCTAACTGCCATCCCCTGCCTCTCCGTGACCTGCCCCCCTCTTCACAAATCCTCCTCCCCTGTGCACTCTCAGCTCCCAGTATGTTCCCCACCCTCAGAGCCCTCATCTGCTGACCAGCCTGGCTTTCCTGCCAGACCGAAAAACTTCCTCCTGGGCAGGGACTGTGTGTTTCCACTTCAGTAATGCTGGCAACAACACAAGTCTGGACACCAAATTGCAGAGCAAGGCATGCAGTCACTCCTGTCAGCAAGCCACATGCCCTGACGCTGAAGTGACTTGGTCCTAAAAATCACCTCTGCCAGGCCTGGGCCGGCATCCAGTCCCCTGAGTGCACATGGGCATCTGAGGCTTTTCTACCTAGCGTCCTCTCTTGTCCTGCAGGTGCTTGACGTGTCTGGGGCCGACATGTTGGCCAAGTCGATCGCCAACTGCCAGGTGGAACTTCTGGAAAACTGTGGGCACTCAGTGGTGATGGAGAGGCCCAGGAAGACGGCCAAGCTCATCGTCGACTTCTTAGCTTCTGTGCACAGCACAGGCAACACCAAGAAGCTGGACTGAGACCCCGCCCGCAGCCTGCACTCGCACACAGCATCCACCCCCATCTCCAGAATCGGACACGGCCACCATTTCTCAGGGATCCTGCCCCAGACGCGGTCGGAGTGCCGGCGTCCCTGAGGAGGCCAGTCCCGTGTCCCCGGTCTCAACAGATCCACAGAGCTTTGGGGGCCACGAGGAAATCTCCAAGATATTTTTCACAATATAGAAACTCACATGGGACAAAATTAAGAAAACCTAGCCATGAAATCTACCCAGAAGTCTTCAAGTCGTGTCGCAAAGCGGCTGCCCTGGGACCATAATCACCGAGGCCATTTTCTTTAAAACATCCTTCACAGACTGAGACTCGAGGTTTTTCTGCTGCTTTGACGTTCTCCCCTGCATGGTCAGTGGCTGTTATAGGAGCATTAGTCTCCATCTGCTGAGCCCTTCTTTTTTATGTCTAGTTTAAGTTTTATGTAGAGGCCCTATGTGAATGCAAGTCCGTCAGCTGCAAGACCAGGGAGCAAGATGCAAGCTATAAATGATATTAGCACGTGAGGAGGGGTGCGGTCCCATGTCCGCGGCCCCCCTAGCTGCCAGAGCAGTGGAGAACACGGGTCGGGGGGTCGATGGGCCCCTGCACGTCAGCCCTGTCATGAGGGAGCCCGGAACGGTCGCCGTACAAAGAACAGGGTGGGTTTCCTGGGAATCATTGATTATTTTTTAAAATAGGACTAATGAAGCAATAATGTTCTATAATCAGACTCGGATTCCACACACAAGCACCTCGTGGGCATCTTTTCTATCTTGCTGTGCTACTGAAGACCTTTGGGTGTAAAATACTAGTTTGTTAATGAATTCTGTGAATTCTGTGAACAGTCATGTGATTGAAAATAAGTCTAAACAGCTGTAAAAGTGACCACAATGACATGAAATAAATTTAATAAATCTAGATCAGCAACATGCAGATGGTTTCTGTTCCTAAGCTCCTATTTAAGTACAACGTTGGCAGATTTCCTGTTAACTTCAAGAAGCATTTTTTCTTTTTTTTTTTTTTTAGGATTTTATTTATTTATTTGAGACAGAGAGAATGAGAGAGAGTGAGCACATGAGAGGGGGGAAGGTCAGAGGGAGAAGCAGACTCCCTGCCAAGCAGGGAGCCCGATGCGGGACTCGATCCAGGGACTCCAGGATCATGACCTGAGCCGAAGGCAGTCGCTTAACCAACTGAGCCACCCAGGCGCCCCAAGAAGCATTTTTTCAAGTAAGCCTTCTTCTAAGGCACTGGAAGACCTTATTTGGATGAGTTACTAGTTTTCTTTTAAGAAAATCATGTTTGTCATTTTTATTCAGCTGAAATTGTATATCAGAAACAAAAGGCAACAGTCATGAGACTGTTCCTTTTGACCCTTGTCTGTTGTACTGAGGAGCCCTTAAAATTCCCAGAGCTTCAGGGCGCCTGGGTGACTCGGTTAAGCATCTGACTCTTGATCTCAGCTCAGGTCTTGATCTCGGGGTCGTGAATTTGAGCCGTGCGCTGGGCTTCATGCTGGGCATGGAGCCTACTTAAAAAAAAAAAAAAATCCTCGGAGCTTGAATCCACCAAATCTTTTTACAGAATCTGCAGCCAAGTAGTTCTGGAAATAAAGTGAGATAAATTTTATAGTTTAAATTAAAAACTATAGTTATCGTTTAAACTTTATATTTTAATTTATCAGAGAAGAACAGAACACAGATCTTAAAAACAAGAAGATTTGAAAATGTGATGTCTCATACGGGCGGGCTGCAGCTAACGCAGTGTTCAGAGGGAACGTTAGAGGCCTCAGTACATGTATTAGCAAAGAAGAGGGGTGGCTGGCTGGCTCAGTCGGTGGAGCATGCAACTCTTGATCTCGGGGTTGTGAGTTTGAGCCCCACGTTGGGTGTAAAGACTACTTAAAAATAAAATCTTCTTTTTTAAAGAGTCTATTTATTAGAGAAAGAGCACACAAGCAGGGGGAGCGGGAGAGGGAGAAGCAGACTCCCCGCTTCCCTTGAGCAGGGAGACCAATGTGGGGCTCGATCCCAGGACCCCAGGATCATGACCTGAGCTAAAGGCAGATGCTTAACCAACTGAGCCACCCAAGTGCCCCTTAAAAATAAAATCTTAAAAAAAAAAAAAAAGAAAAATCATAAATCAAAAATAAACCTAGAAAAAAATAGAAGGAAATAATACAGGTGAGAGCAAAAATCAATGGCATGGAGAAAAGAGTAGATACTAGACACACTGCTTGTTCCAGTCTTTCATGTTCCTCAAGAATTCTGAGTTTGATGCGGTCCTGGGAATGGGGGTCAGTCTGGGTGGGTTTGGGTGATGAGGGACGGTGTCCAGGGTAGCTGAAGACGCCTCCAGCCTGGGGTAAGTCCTGCAAATTGGAAAGCGTACTAGGTGCCGGAATTGTTACGCCCTGGGTGAACGGCAGCTAAGGATCACATCCACAGTCGCTGCTGCATTGCGCCCACACTGGGCCCATCCAGGCAGCAGTGTGGGCTGCCCGTCCCACCAGGAGGACAGTGGGGGGGGGTCTGCAGCGGCGGGATGCAGACCCCGCCTCCTCTGCTGTCACGCGAACGCGTCAACGGGAAGTCATGAGCAGAGCATGTGAAAGAGTCCTTTGGACAGACCTAAAAACTGGGTTGTCGTGGTTCTCCCTTGGGCCTGCACTTCTGGCCCCACCGTGTTAGGAAGACTTGAAAGCAGACACGCACAGCTCCCCTTTGGCACCCCACGTTTTGCCTTTGTGATTACGAAAAGCTTGCTGGTGACCGCCAGCTGGCTGCCCCCCAAGCCACGGCCCAATGGGCCACGTGGTGGCGCCTTTAATGACAGTCTTGGAGAGAAGAAAAGGGTCATTCAGCACAGCCTTGCCTGAAAGACTGCCAGAAGTTTCTGCAGTCAAATGCTCTACCACTGAGCTACACCCCCCTGCCAGAAGTTTCTGAAGTGACAGTGGAAAGCCCCGAGAATCACAAGCGGACTCGCTACCCCACTTCCTGGAATGCGGCCGTCAGGGCTGCCGAGGACGGACCCTGCTGGGCAGGCACTGAGGGAGCTAAGGGCCAGGCCCTGGTTAGCTCTCAATTTGCCATCAGTCTGGGCTTCTTGTCAAGCACAGATGCAGCACCAGGAGTGACTGAGGCAAGGAACACAACAGTTTGATGGTGCTGCCCGTGCGTGTAAGTCTGCCTTCCGTTTGAGGCCCCATGAGTATTCCCCATCCCAGGGAACCTTCCTTGTTGCTTTTTCCAAAGGAAGTTCCCAGAAGGTACTGGGAAGATTATAAGGTGGGTCAGGCCAGCTGGTGCTCTTCCAAGTATGTTTCATGCATCCCCTTAATCAAGTTCTCACACACCCCTAAAAGGTACGTACAACCTGTGCCCATTTTATTTTTATTTTTTATTTTTTTAAGCTGTGCCCATTTTACAGCCAGAAAACTGAGGCAGGGAGAAGTGAACTATCTTGCCCAAGGTCACACAAATAACAAGTAGAGAGAGGCGCCTGGCTGGCTCAGTGGGTGGAGCATGCAACTCTTGATCTCAGGGGTGTAGGTTCGAGCCCCACGTTGGGTGTAGGGATGACTTGAAAATAAAAAAATAAAAAATCTTTTTAAAAAAGATTAAAAAAAAAAAGATAGAGACAGTTTATGATTGAAGGTAACTTGCAAAAACAATGTTTTCACCGGTTCAGGCAGAAGCTCTCTGGCCCAACTTCCAGTGGAGGCTGGGGCCCTGTTGGCTTACCTGCACCAGGCCAGTGTGGGGCAGCTCCAGCCACCCTCACTGAGGCCACACACCCCAGGCCCCTCCTGAAGACAGTGACCTGGTTGTTCACTCAGCAAATAGTTAAGGCTATCCCAGTGCCGAGCCTCCTGCTAGGCAGGAAACAAGCTTACCTACATTCCAGCATCTAAGGGCCTCAAGGGACAGCCTGCTCATCTGCCAGTGTCTTTAGTAACCAGAACTTATGTCATGCCCTCCCTGGAAGGGCTCATTCACCTTGATAACCCCCATCTCTCTACCACACTCTGGCCTGGTTCAGGTGAGCCAGCGGGGCCCCTGATCATCAGTGTTGCTTGCCCAAAGGAGTTTTCTGGAGGGGAGGTTTCCCCTGCTTCTTGCCCCTTGGGGTCAGGCTTGGAAAGCGGTCAGTTGATTTGGCTCTGTTCCTGGCTGCCATTCCAGAAGTGGCCCGAGGCTCTGCCTGGGATCAAGTTCAGGCTCCCTTTGAAGGTGAGGCGAGTCACCCCCAGACTTTATACCAGCCCGGGCTTTCCCACTGCCTTCAGAAAAATTTTAGGTTTTAATTAAATATAAATGCTGATTTTAGCTCCCTCATTTACTTCCCAAGCCCCGGATATATTGATCTCAGGACAATCATTAGTTGGTTCGTGAAATAAACATTGTTCTAAAATGATGGATGCAAATTTTAACATCTGCATGTACCAGCCTTCTGCTTTGGGGACTTCCTGTCTTAGATCAAGAAGTCTTTTATTAAAAGTGGCAGTTCACTGGGTCTGTTCCAAAAATGTTTGCTGAAATACTCTTTGGCCAGGTTTGGGATTTTGTTTTTGTTTTTGTTTTAACTCTTAGTCTGTCTCTGTCTCTCCTCCACTCCACCCTCACCCCATCTGTTTCATCAGTTTATCTGTCTCCTATCCATCTGTCTGTCTCTTTTACCCATGCCCACGGGCACACAGAGACACACCCTCCCCTGACAGGTGGGAGCCTGGCTCTTCTGATCCTTCATTTTGTATGTCTTCAACACCACTCCTTGAACCGTGCAGACTGGGCTTTCTCACCAGCCGCTTCTCTCTCCCCCCGCCAAAGTTGGATGATGTTCATACAACCCCTCCATCCCTGAAAGGAGGCAAAAAAGTAGAGAGGGGGTGGGAGTGGTCACAGATGGGGCAGTGGAGATGTGCTCACATTACCTGCTGAAGTCGGGGCCAGCTACCCTGGGGCTCTGGACTGGAGGTCACCAGCAAGTGGGCCTGTGGTTTCCTGTGATGGGATGAAAGTCTTGCATGACCATCACTAGCCTAGTCAGGGACAGGATATCAGATGGCTCCTTTTAGCAACAGGAAGGCCCTTCTCCCTTGGCTCCTGGAGGAACCTTTCCTTCATGGCTTGCTGGATCTTTGGTCTCTCTACCCTCCAGGCAACGACTAGGAACTTTAGGGCACACAAGCTCCAGCAGGGGATGGAAAGAGAAGGAAGGATTCTTAGGGGCAAGAAAGGGGCAACTATTAACATGAGTATAGGTCTACAATCCCTTACCAAGCCTCCAAGAGCCAGATGTGATTCCGAATTCAGAAAGTTTCCCATTTTAGAAAGGTATTAGGGGGTGTGCACCACAGATTATGTAACATCCCCAGTGGGGCTGGGGCTGCCTTATATGATCAAATGCATTGACATTTCTGCTGTGCGATGTATGAATAGCCACAGTAAATGGGACAAAATCTATAAAAATCTTCATCTCTGTTCAGATTAAGCGTTGGGTGCCACATGAAGAAAGATTTGGTTTCCATGTTTTTCTTGGATTTCAGAATTGCAGATAAGGGATGGCAGGCCTCCACTCCCTGTTTCCTCTCTCCTGCCTTGGGGTTGGGGGTTGGGGGGAGAGTTGGGGGGCAGGAGGGGGCACCTTGAGGAAGAGTCTGTTCTTCCAAGTGGGAAGAGAGGCATACAGATGGGTGTGGTCCATGGCTCCCTCTTGTGACTATTAGGAGCAAGTCTTGATTTTTGTGTGACAATTTTTTACTTGACAATTATTAAATTATACAAATAATGCCCTGTCACTTTAAAACAAATCAAACAAAATGATGTTTAAAAATTATGCTTATACATACATATGCATCAACAGAGAGGCCCCTACAGCTGGCTTATTGCTGTGTGCATGTGTGTGTTTGTGTGTTTTACATAAATGGG